ATATATATATATATATACACACCGCTTGAATGTATTGGCCAGCGTTCACGCTTTGCTCGAACGGCCACCAAGCTTTGACTCGAGTTACTTTAAACAAATTAATCGTGGGCAGATTCGGGTTGAGTAATTTCAAAGTACAATTTTTCGAATTCGGACTTCCTCGTGGCATTGCGGACAGATCCAACGTTAGTGCTCCTAAATAAATAAATTATTTTTTATTTTCATTGAATCGTATATCCTTTTTCGTGATTCTTTTAACAAGAGTTATGAGGTAAAGTTAATATTTATATTTTATTTAAGAATGAAGGGAATATAAAAATAGACAGATAGATTAATATTACCGAGAAAATCGTCTGGAGAGAAGTGATCGCTGTCCCAGACTTGCAGGTATAACCTGCACGGCAATTTCTCCTCGGTGTCGGTCAATGAAAAGATGGATATCTTTTTCGGGACAATTATAACGCGCTCGCTCTTGCAATACATCACACGAAACACGAATCGCCAATTGAAATTTCCTTCGCCGTTTAAAGAATTGTAATGGATGTCGGTCTTTTGGTAATCGTCGTAAGTGATCCAACTGCGATTGATTTCTTAATATCAGACGATCAGACGAAGATAAGCCAAATCTTCTTAGAGGTTATCGCTATTTATTCACAAATTTACCCTTTAACGTAAATGTCGGAGCACTTTTCACCCGTAAGAAATTGACTTTCCACGAGAGGTATATCTTCCGTGTTCCAAACGATCACGCGAATTTCGTATTCCTCGGGCACGGGCGGGCTGATGTCGACCGGCGGTTTCAGAGGAACTTCGCCTACTTGAAACATGTCGATCCACATTTCCAATCTACCCTGATCGCACAAGAGAATCGACAAATCACATTTTCTAGAACGGGCATTCGCGTAATCATTCGAAATAACGCGGTCAAACTTAATTCATCGTGACAAAATTTGCCTTTCGACCGATTCAGATCGAAATCGGTTTCATCCGATAATCAACGAATTCGTCCGAATCGAGAAAGAGAAATAACGAAATCTTGGCATTTTTCAATCGATTTTTCATCGAAAGAAAATCCCTCGAATGACTCTGCCGTGGCTAACGCGTTACAACCTGCTCCAACCCGGGTCTTCCTATATTAAAAAGCGGCCGTCTCTCCACGTGTTCCGGAACCAGGTAGCAGCCGCAAATGGGGAAGTTTTGCCACTGATGGAGCACGCTCAACGCCATACATTCATTTAATTCTGAAAGGGGAATGCCATCGATGTAATTCTAATCTTCCATCCTTCTCCCCCCTGATTGGGGGAAATCGTTTCAATTTTAAAACGCACCGGATTCCGGATGCTCGGCTTCGTCGAAGGGAAACTTTTTCCGTCCGATTTTCACGTAATGTCTCCTGTACTCGGGCAACGGAAGATTGTTCTTCCTGCAGAGCTGTTCGAGTATTTGGGTCGGTTTCTCGCGATCCCTCCACTGATTGTACCCCTCAGTCGCGTATATCTTGGATATGCCACACGTGGCACGGTGTTTGCTGTAGAATCGACTCTCGATGTCGATTTTCGTCTCCCCTATCAGGTCGTCGCTAGTGGTCGCGTCGTAATCCCATACTTGTACGATCATCGTGCAATCGCGGGGGAAAACTGCCTCTATCTCGAAGAACCTGTAAAATATACGCGATTGGTATATTTTAACTTAGTAGGAGAAGGAGCTCTTTTCTCCTGGAAAATAAATTAAAAAAACTTCGTGGAATGTGTGCAGAGTTGATAAATAAGAAAAAGAATGAAAAAATTGAAATCTCGATATTAATAGTTTTGTCTGTGTGATAATTCTAAGTAAAAGTTAGTAGTAGAACAAACTTTGAGAGGGGTAGAAGGGATCCCAATTGGGGCAATATATCACACGATATCTCGTGGATAGATGATTTCTTTGTAACGTCCAGTTCCAAAGAATTGGATAAGTTAAAATGCAATGGTCAGCACGTACCGTCCAAAAGTTGGATTTAGCTGGTTCGGTATGTAATTCTTTTGGTCGCTGATATACGTTTTACCAAGCCGGATACAGATATACGGATCAGACTTTCCGGTTAGGGGATCCTGAGGCTGCAAGTTGATGCCTGTGGAATCGATTCGATCCCGTGAGCTCGTCACACGATGAACCCGAGTCAAATATATCGCGTTTATCGTCGCACCTTTCACCACGTAAAGTCTAACCACGAGTTTGATAGACTCCGAATGCGGATAATCGTCGCACAGGCCGTCATTCGCGCTTCTCCCGCTTCTCGTTTTGCAAGGCAAGTTGCTGGGGTGCGGCCAGCGATACACGCAAATACGCCCCTGTCGATAGATTTTTATTAATGGATTTATCATTTTTATCAACGAAATTTTCTTAGACGAAAAGAGAAGAAAAGAATCGGGATTTAAAAAAACGATTTAAAATGAAATTTTCGGAACGAGACGCGAATCCAATTGCTATTATTTCACGTTCATTCTCTTATTATTAACGATTTAAAAAGAAAAAAGGAAAAAGACGAAATTTACTTCTTCCGTTTCGAAAATAGGGAAAGATGTTGCCTTTGGAAATTATCTTTCAATCATTCACCAGAAAACGGGCATTTCTCCTTCTGATTTTCCTCCAATTAATAGCTCGTTTGAACAAACATTTAACATTCCTTGATCGAACGTTTAAGGATGCAAAACTCTCCTCTCTTCCATCGAATCTCGGCGGGTAAAATATTTAGAGGAGGAACAAAACTCTCGGGGAAAAATTGAGATTGGTGGGATGGCAAACCTTGAATTTTCCAACGTAATTCTCGCTGTCGTAGTCGGGTTCCTCGCTTTTGCGCCCCTTCCACAGCTCGAACGTTCTCAGACGATCCTGGAAGCCGGAGAATTGCGGCTGCATCTCCAGTTCTCCGTCGTATACCTGTTTCCCGCCCAATGAGACACCTGAGCTGGTGAAAATTCGCTAAACGCGTAGGATACCTTGAACGTCGCTGTGATCTTCTGTTCGGGTGGTGGAATACCGTTCAGCTCCCTTCTTCTTTCCTCCTGGAAACGTCTCGTCCCTCTTACCACAATTTTCACAATTACACGTGGTGGAAAAATATTCGGTTGACATTTCGTTGCTCCTCCACACTTACCTCTAGGGAAGCGAAGTATTTGGTCCACCAGTCTAGCGACTCGTCGTCGTCGCTCGTGAGAAATTCTTTTTTTTCCTTTTTCCTTTTCGCGTGGATCAGATGAGCGAAGAAATGTTTCAAACAGCGAAAAATCTTCTTGATCCATGAGATTCTGTCGCCCATCTTCTTGTAAGGAATTAATTTCTTGTGCTCGTCTTCTTTTTTCGGATCGAAATCGATCGGCAGGGGCACTTGAAAATAATTTTTTATCATCAATCAATTTGTCAAATTTGTTGACGATTAAAAACGATTTTTACAAAGTAATTTCTTCGTTTGATCTTATTTACGAGATATAATTAGTTTTACAGTTTCGTTGATTATTCTTTCATTTTCATTTCAACAATTTCAATAAACTCGAATCATCTCTATGAATAAATAACTTTATTATTTTTCTCACTTGTATATTTATTATCAGACAAGATTGTAAAAGATTTTAAAACGTATATCTCGAAAAGAAATAAAACGTTTGTATATTTTTCACAGTTTTTAAGTTAATTTTCAATGGATCAATGAAAGCATGACTATTGTCGAATAAACGACAAATCTAAACTAAAAATTCAATCTCAAATTAATCCCGATTTCCGGAAAACACGGGCACAAATTCCTCCTGAATGGTAAAAAATATTTGTTCGCAGTGTATAAACATTCTGTGCAACTTTAATTAACAAAGTTTTCTGTTGCGTGCCGAGTGGGACCGGATATTCCATGGCGTTATTAAACCGTTGAAACCAACCGCGTTCAAATATTTAATAACTACTTGAAACACCCCTGAAAACAGCGGTTGAACACAGTGTGAACATGAACTACACGGCCAACCGTGTCAATATAATTGAACTCGGAGAATATTGTATATATTTTACATATTGAGAGAAATAATATCAACATAACAGTAGACAGTATTCTAGAAAATATTCGATACGGAAAATTATATTTTTACGCACTTTCCCATTTCATATTTGAAATTTACCACCATGCACGTCGTTGACGTGTATAAATTTTAAAAATCTCGTGTCTCTCGAATTTTAAATGAATCGAACTTATTAGAGACTTACGAACGGTTTCAGGTTTTTCCTCTAAATGTTTCGCAGGTTTGAAGATCTTTTTCGTCCCGTATATCTGCTCTTCGTAATCATCCTCGGTTATCAACTGCTCCAGAAATATGTTGATACTCGGTATGATGCAAATTCCAACATACTTGAAGCAACCGAGTCCTCGCGAGTCGAACGCTTTTATTACCACGCTTGGATAATAGATTTCGAGCTCTGGCATATCCTTCGAGAATTTTTATATCAATATACGTTTCTAACATAAACATACATCGATGTGTTCGGTTCGAAGAACCTTATTTTGCAACGAATTGGAACGAGAGATGGAATGATTCTCTCTCCCTCTTTCTCTTTCTCTCTCTGCGATATCCAAAGTGTGTGCAGTCAAGCGTTAATATCAAGTCGTGTATATATATATATATATAGCAACTTTCAGAGCGGTATATTAGTGGTAAGATAGATTAATATTAGGATACATACGAGCTGTCATACGAGATACGCCTAAAGAGAGAGAGAGAGAGAGAGAGAGTCATAAGTTGATGTCGTAACATGATCGCCGATATTCTGTATCTCTGAATGGACGATCGAATATCACGTTCGTTTCCTGACAAAGATGGACGATAATTTCTGCAACATCCGTTAATATATATTGACAACGCAGACATCGTGTTGCGTTTGATCATGAAAGATGATCGAGACAATTGATTTTCGTGAATATGAAACGATTGTTAATTAATACAATTCGTTACGAATTCTTATTGTCCATCGTAACAACGTATCCATTTTGAGATTAAAAAAAAAAAAAAAAAAAATATCGAAATAATCGATTCCACTACGTGTCTGATCGACAGCACTTTCCTTCGGACGGATGGGTGTAAGTCAATGTCATTACCAATTCGGTGATTACGTGAGGTTTCTTGAAGTTGCTGAATTTTTTGACGTTTCTCATTACTTCCGACTTGATGTCAACACCGCCGCACTCTATGGTAATCCGAGGATTCATCACGGGCATGTAATACAGTTTCTTCATATCTCTCACTCCCCAAAATATTATTTCGAGCCTGTAACTTGCCATTTTCGGCCTGATATCTTCCGGTATAGTGTAAATGGTGTCCAACATCGAGCGATGAATAGGTTTGTCCAGGTCTTCGTCCTCTTCCTTTACCTGTTCATCAAAATTAAATCATTCAATTTTTCTTTAAAAAGAAAAAAGAAATCTCTATTCAATCAAAGTAACAAGTAAATAAATCATTTATCCCTTGCCAAAAAGCAAAATTTCAATTATCAATCATCAAACCTTATTTATATTCGCGTTATTTTTTTATATTCTAATATTGAATTTATGTACGATCTCGTATATTTATGTTATGAATTTGGTGTCACTGTTACGTCTGTTCCCTTTTTTTGAACCGCTGTTCTATGCGACATAGTGAACGCAATAAAACAAAAACATCGACACATCTATATTACACAGTTTATTCCTTTCTCACTATATATTCTTTATTTTGATCAAATCGTTTCACAATACCCTATCTCTTAATATTTTTATTTTTATACGTTATAAATGGGTTCGAAGACGGATGGAAAAAATGAATCCACGCAAAAAGGACGAGAAAAGGGTTCATTAGCGCGGATAGCCTCTCTTTCTCGTGCGCGACACAAATATCGATCGATGTTTGCATCCCTTACCTCTATGAGCTCGAAGGCGGCGAGCACCGACCCAGAGAAATCCCTTTGAGATTTAAATTTGTACCATCCAAGTTTCGGAGGGAAATCGGGCGGGGAGTAAGTTTCCTCCGCTAGTTTAACTAATGGAATCGCCGTGCATCTTCCGCAAAACTCCTTTATACCCTGTGAATTTCGACTTCGTGACGATTTCGTGGAACTAATTTCACTCGTTTCGATCATTAAATTCGATCGATAAATTCATCAACGATACATAAATATCTAATCCGGATCGCCTGTAGTGCAAGCGAGATCGTTTAAAAAAAAAAAAAGAAAAAGGATCCACTCACGCATATGTCCAAGTCGTACACCTCCAATATAACTATAGGTGGGTTTAATTTAATGTACTCTTTGGATCCGTGCACGGTTCTCGGCGGCAATATCAAAGTTTGATCCCAGAACGGGTCCAGAGTCTGCTTGACAACCTGAAAAATTTACAATTTACTTTCAATCCCCCCGAGCACGTTGCCAGCCCCAACCGAAGAATTTTCGATGCGACTCCAAGACTTTCGTAAACGCTCGATAATTCAATAAAACACGATGGATCCAAAGAAATTTGAATGTTCCTTTTTACGGAAGGAATAAATGTCAGTGGAGAAAAATATCCATTTACCGAGTAACGATCCAACGAGGAAGGGAAGGAAATCTTAATTAATAATGAGACGACGAGTTTCGTGGGTGAATTATCGACACGGGTTGAAAACTTACCCTGGTTGAGATGGAGTAACCGTGGAAACAGACGCGTATCAGCGGATCCAACAAGCCGGATGTGTCCATACCGGGATCAAAGCGACCTTGGAATATGTGAGCACGCAACTGAAATGTCTGCGACCGAATGGCAAACTAACTTTGTCGTTTCGTTCGAAATATTTCCAATGGTATTGGGGCTGAACTGTTTTCTAAAAGTTTCGAGAGGGATCAACGTCAAGTTTGTTTCTCGTTGAACAATCGCGATTACGCAGAGGGATTACGGGGGGACGCGACGAGTTCGAATTCTTTGAAAGGATTATTTTCAACGTCCGTCGATGCTCGATCAAGTTTTGAAAAAAAGTTTTGTCATTACGTGAAATTTTAATCGAACTTGAAGAACAAGAATATCGTTTCGCATTCAACGATCTAACAGACGTGGAATTCTAAAGTGGGTATTTCATCGTCAACGAGAGCTATAAAAAAAAAAAATATATTCTTTCGATTAATCCCCTCTTTCGAGAGATAAAACAGCTACATTTTTTTCAAGGAGCTAAAGATAGCTTCTTTTCCTTCGTTTTTTAATTATTCTTTTTTTTTCTAATTTTCATGAATTATTCGAGCAAAAAAAAGAAAAAGATTAGTGTTAACACGATTATTAATGATAAAATTATATAAAGCAGTACGACACGATGTGTCACGCATCGAGAAGTTTATAATAGAAAAAGGAACAAACATTAAATGTATAATAGTCAGTATAAAAATAGTTCCACAAAAAAAGGTGTGTACGCTTATGGGATTGCATCGTTAGGATAATATAATTACTTTTGTCAAGGATGCGTGTGATCATGTCACATTGCTTTATAACTCAAAAGTAATTAAATTTGAAGTAGTTAAAAATAGTTAAATTTGAAAGTAGTTAAAAAACAAGAAAAAGGAGCTCTTTACGAATAAAAAAACATAGCTGTTGTTTTATCTAACCGTCTCTTGAATTAATTAAATCTCCCCCTCAGTATACGAAACGCGTCCAAGCTTGACCTTGTTCCCATCGAAAAATTTTCCCATCGAAATGGAAATTGTCGTACCGTGGAATGAGTGTACTCCAAATATTTCGGGAACGTGTAGATAGTTTGCTCGTGATTCACGTTGTAACCAGGAGGGATAGAGGACCAACAGGCAGCTGTAAGTAACATAGGAACAATGATGAAGAATAGACAAAAGTTAGCAATCTCTTGTTTTGGGAACATGGATAGTTGCTGAAGCAAAAGCTATATAGATTAATAGAAATTAATGTGCCAAAAGAGAGATTTGAAGTTTTACACCAGTATTATTCAAATCATGTTGATAACAAAGTTATATAAAGTCTGGTTGAAAATTTGAGAAAGAAGCAAAGCTATAAGCAACATAGAAATTAACATATAAACTTTCAGAGGGTAAAACTATGAATAATAAAACTAATAGAATGATGAAAGATAAAAGTTAGACAAAGGTCTATTCAATCTCTTGTTTTGGGACATAGATGGTGCTGAAGCAAAAATTATATAAATTAATAAAAATTATACTAAAAGAGAGATTTGAAATTTTACACTAGTGTTGTTCAAATCACGTTGATAATAAAGTTAGAAATAAACTGGTTAAAAATTTGAGAAAGAAACAAAACTATAAGCAAATTAATAGAACGAGGCTTGAAACTTTAATTTAGAACAAAGTTATGAACAGCAAAACTAGTATAATGAGCACACTTCAGCCTATAGGTAATGTTAAAGCGAAATAAAGGTTTAACATAGTACAATTCATAAATTTGAGACTTCAGGCTCTATCGAACATTATTTGCCATTTTAAATTTTCTTTATCAATTTTGGCACAAAATAAGAGCGCTTTTCGCATAGACATATATAGAATTACCGAGCAGAAGTCTTTTATTTTTATTCTTAACTCTTACCGACATAATCAGCGTTTCCAAGCCAGAGGAAAATTTCAAGCTTGCAGACCATATAATCGGCCTCCTCCTTGTCCCATGGATTTCTCAAAAACACGTCCATTCGACGGCCGCAAAGCGTTCCC